TTCTCTTTAGGAGGGTATAAAATACCAAAAGGCACAAATGTTGTTGTTGTAACTTATGCCTTGCATAGAGACCCTGAGATCTTCCCTGACCCAGAGGAATTCAAGCCTGAGCGATTCTTCCCTGAAAATTGTAAGGGAAGGCACCCATATGCTTATGTGCCCTTCTCAGCTGGTCCCAGGAACTGCATTGGTAGGTATTGAAGAAGCAGCACTTGTAATGTGACAGTGTGGAAACTGTGGCAGCAGCATGTGTATGAGAAATGTAAGTCTTGATGTGCCTGCTGCTCATGTCCTGTTCTTCCCCGAGCTGCTGCTTCAGCCCCACCCTGAATTCTGGGCATTGTCTCCCCTGCAAGCCTGGTGCTTGAGCTGACACATTCTTTTTTTTCCCAAGGGTTTCTTTTCTTCTGAGGACCTATGTCTATCATGCTGATGTTTCCTCCCTACAGCCTGGTGGCATGTTAATGGGCTCCTGTGTTAGGATAGGATTGCTTCCAGATTTCTGATCCTCAGTGTCAGCAAGACGGAGTGAGGGAAGGCACATCTGCGCTTGCTTTGCTCTGGAAACAACTAATCTGTTTATCTCATGATTTCAGCTGGGTGTCCCAAAGATGCAGTCTGAAACTGATGTATTCTTTCCCTCTTTCTGACACCGTTGTTGCTCTGGTGTTTTCACTGGCATCCCAGAACTTGTTAGCTGTTCAGGTGGCACTGAGGTACTCGGTGTTTGCGCTCAGTATAGGGGCATTGTTATTCATATAGAACACATGAAAAGACTGTTCCATTCACTGATCTTAAGTGCAGGTGGGGAACATTCAGCCACTTACAAAAACAAGAAACCCATTTTCTTTTGGTTTTTTGGTTTTATTGGTTTTCTTTATTTTTTGGGGTGTGGGGTTGTTTGGGTTCGTTTGTTTGTTTGTTTTTAATTAGTCTTATTGGGAATAGGGAATATTGGGAATATGTTTCTCATAAGAACAGCAGATGAGATTTTTCCATAATTCAAAGAGAAATCTAATTTTACATGTCTAGCTAGTTCCTGAGTGTACAGGAACATGTGCAGGAGAGGTGATTCACTGATATCATTGCAGAAGTAAATCACTGTGTATGTATGTACAGATACCCATCTGTACATATTTTACAGAGGAGAGAAAAGAGAAAGTTTTGAGCACTGGGTTTTGTGTCCTGATCCTATTTTCAGTGCAGTTTAAATGAGCTGCCTGGATTGTGGTGACACTTTGTTTGCTTTCCCTCACATTTCTCTGTTCTCCCTTTTCCTTCTCCACCTTTCTCTGAAGTGTAAATTGAACTTTGCCCTCTGTGCTACCAAATCACTGGTGTGTGTGATGCTTAGTGTTCATTGAAGGAAGGTATGCCTGTTGTTCTGTTGAAGTTGTATCTCTTTTCCTCCTCTGCAAACATGGATTTGTCTCTCCTGACAGTCACTGTGCTGCATCTTCTCCTGCATCTTCTACTGTTGTCCATCCAAAAGACATGACAAGGCTGTGTTTTTTATTAGTTCCATGTAAAGTGTTGGCTGTTTCCTCTGTGCTGTTTGAGTTCTGTGTACTATGGGAAGGGAGATAATGCTCTGAATTGCCCCAGGAAGGCCCGAATTGTCGTGCAGGGAAAAGTACTACATTGAGCAGTCAGTTTTGACCTAAATCGAGTTCTGTTCTCAAGGCACAGTCCCTGCCGTCCTGTGTTCCATGGCGTATCACTGTGAACATGCAAATGCAGCAACTATTGATACAACCCAACAATAACATCTTTATTTTTTTACTGCCCTGTAATTTGTAGGTCAGCGTTTTGCACAAATGGAGGAGAAAGCTCTTCTAGCTCTCATCTTGCGGCGCTTTTGGGTGGACTCATGTCAAAAGCCGGCAGAGCTTGGTATAACTGGAGGACTGATTCTTCGTCCAAATAATGGCATCTGGATTAAGCTGAAGAGGAGGCAAAATGCTGGATCAGAATGAAAGGAAATTCAAGATTTATTTTTCCCAAAGCTTACAAACTCTTTAGGCTAAGATACATTTTTAAATTGTGTATTTTGATGGCATAGCAGCAATTTGTTGAAACTAAAGTCATTAGTGTTTGTTTCATTAGAGAAAATGTAATAGCCTTAAATTGCTGTCCTTCTCTAGTTCATATGAATATCATGTTCATCTTCATAGTGCAAGTGATTAAATACCAAATCTCAGTGCTTTATTTACTCAAACTACTTGATTAGAAGAGTGAAAAAAACTTTAAATTATGGTAGTCACAGTAATGAGTGTGATGAAGTGATCTGGTTATTTTCTATAACATTTGTGAGGTAACTGATAGTCTCAAATCTTTGTAATCCTGTTCAGGTTTCTTTGGTTCTGAAAGATAGAAGCAAACAATTCTTCCACATGGCAAATCTTGTTTTTCTGTTTTGGTGATGACTGCATCTATGAAAACGAAATAGACATCTGATAATTTCACTTCTCCTTTGAAGCATTTACAGTAGTTCTTAAGCAGTGAGTGCTCTGAGTTATTTTTTAACAAAGTGTACCATAAGTATTAATCTTTATAATTGTACCATGAACTAGATACTGTGCAAATTACAGACAGGATTTCATGTCAACAGAAACACCGTGTTATTATGAACTTTGAAAATAAACTTCTATGCTGCAATATGGAATTAAATTAGATCTGTAAAAATCACATGCCTGGGTGCAGGTAAATTGATGATGGGTAATTATTTCTAAACATCAGTTCCTCTAGGGTGATTGATTGACCAGATTTTACTGTGTTAGTTAAAGCTGAAATAATGTGCCAGTCTGCTTTTGGCTTCTATGGTCCTGAAGGCAACACAGAGAATTTCTTGCTGATTGATGCTAAAGAGGAATTACAGTGATGGAATGAAGCACCTGTGAAAGTTTCTATGGTTTGTACCTTCAGGATAGGTCAAAATCTGCAACAATCCACACAGCTGGAGAGCAGACGCTCCATGACTTTGAGATAACAGCAGTCCAGTAACTAAGGTATAATACAAAACCACTACTGCTACCACTAATAACACTAATGATAAGGGAAATAACAAGGGGATAGAATATAAACTAAAAGGGAAGAGGAAAAAAGCTATAAACACAAGTGATGCACAAAGCAATTGTTCACCACCTGCCAACCGATACACAGCCCGACCGAAGCAGTGATCTGGGCATTCGAGGTAACTCCCCCCAGTTTACATACTGGGCATGACATGCTGTGGTGTGGAATGCCCCTTTGGCCAGTTTGGGTCAGGTGTCACATCTCTGCTTCCTCCTGGCTTCCTGTGCCCTTCCTCACTCGCAGAGCACGGGAGACTGAAAAGTCCTTAACTGGAGTAAGCATTACTTAGTAACAAATAAAAACATCGGTGTGTTACCAGCACTGTTCTCAGACTAAAGTCAAAACCACAGCACTGCACCAGCTACTAAGAGGGAGAAAAATAACTGTTAAAGCTGAACCCACTACACCTTTGAACTCTAAACGCAAATACTACTCCTGAGTAATGGTTTATATAGGGTGATCTTGATGCTAACCATGGGGCAGTGCTGGCTCTGTTTCTGAAATATGAGTGCCTTCCTGTAAGAAGCCTTGTCTCGAAAGGATAAATATCCCTGTCCTATAGTAACAGAAAGGACACAACTTTCTACTGGGGTGATGAAATAGAGTGCATGAGTGTTTCTGGATCATGGTTTACAGACCTTATGAACAAAACTGACAACAAACCTCCTACATGACCTCTTGGCTACTGCTGCTTGAAAGTGTCTTCAGGGCTGCCCCAGGCGCACTAGAGGTTTGTAGCAATCTTTACACAAACTGCTGTTTGGGCTCTGAAAGCTACATGTTTGGGACACATGCAGGCAATGGACTACTAGTGCTTACCAGGTATGTGCCTGCCTTTCCGAATTTAATCCTCATGCTGAGGACAAACATTCATGTACAGGTGTTGTAGACTGGTGCATACATATGTGATCTAACATGCCATCTGACAGATACTCCTCTTCAGCAGGTAAAAGACTCAAAGAGCCTTTGGAGAATCCTACCCCTCTTTCCTTCCTAAAAGTAGTATTGATGCCACCCCCTGCCAAACCTCCCAGAATAGTACTACCCCAGTTCACAGTCAGGTCATATTTGGAAGATGATCTTAATAGTTTGCATTAAAAACTATCAAAACCTAAATCAACTCAGTTTATTAAAAAAAAAAAAAGAAAGAATCTGAGATTTTTCTGAAAGTGGGAGTCATCTCCTAACTCCATTTTATGCTCAATAAATGGGCTTTCCTAATCCATGCCTGGAGTGTAGTTTGTGGAGTTGGAAAGCATTCATTGAAAAATCAAATTATTTTGAGCAAAGAGAAGCAGTCAGTATGCCCAGACCTGCAGACCTAAGTCAAGGCTCAGGGACACATAAAACTTGCTGAAGTGTTACTGTTTGTCAATTTACAGGACCTGGTCAAGAGGCTGGACCCTTCAGTACATTGAAACATTCTGTCTTCTCTAATGTCTAATAGTAACCAGCATCAGGTGTTTTAGCTACAAAGAAGCAAGGACTTGTGCAGTTAGTGTGGTGATCTGTTATAAGAAAAAACCTAAGCCCTTTCACAAAAACAAGAAAAAAAAACCCAACAAAAAAAACCCCACACCCAAAAACCCAATCCAGTAATGATTTGTTGCTTAATATTTGAACTGTCTTTTTCATATATATATACACACATATATATAGTTTTGTGGTTTTTTTTTTTTTGTTTTTTTTTTTTTTTTAAATATGATTTTGAATTTGGTCTGGATTGATTTTGTTTGACATCTGATGTGCAGTTATTTCTGGGCTGCATTTCTAGCAAGACTATTATTGACACGTAGTTGCAGGATACAGAACTACTATACTGCTTTTATTTTAGTACAATGTGCAATCCAACACTTCCTACAGATCAGTAAATAACTTATTCTAGCCATCTTTTTGCAGCTATTTTGGGTGAAATTAAGTCTTAATTGGCTTAGTGAGAGAGTGGATTCTTCACTCAGACAATGTCATCTGGACTCAGATGAAAAAGTTCCAGGTTGTTGATTGTAAAAAGGAAAGATCAAGATTTAATTTCTAGAACTTGTTTTAGCAGCATTATTTCGCTCTCCTTTGTCATATACATAATGATAACCATGGAGAAGTAAAGATACACAGAGAATGCTTTAGACTGTTTGGCTTGTTCGGGTTTTGTGTTTGTTTTTTTTTTTTTTTCGGGGGGGGGGGGGGGGGTTTTGGGTGGTTGGTTTTTTCGGTTTTTTTGTTTTGTTTTTTTTTTTTTTTTCGGGGGGTGGGGAGGAGGATTTGGGGCTTTTGGTTTGGGTGTTTTTTTTTGGTTGTTTTTTTTGGTGGGGTTTTGTTTATTTGTTTGTTTTGTTTTGTTTTTCCTTACTGCGTTCAGAACTAGGTTCATATTGTTATAGTATCTTCTTTCAGATGGAAGGATGTCCTCAAAGCCGTGCCACATCAAAATGAAAACCTGTGTTGTTCCTGCCTTACTGGAACTTTCCTTCCCTCATGCTTTCTGAGATGCTCTTCCTCCTGTTCCATGTCATGACTGGTTGGTATCTCATCACAGAGGGCAGATCCTTTCCCATGCTGAAGCTTCTTTTTTAATAGGATTTCCATTAAGAAATGTGGGATTTTGTTTTAGAATTAGACCTAAATCAGAGTAATGTCTATTTATTCTTTTCCTGAGGTGAAACAATTCATTAATTCCTGACAGGTTTGCAGATGAATGAGATTTCGCCTAAGTCACAGTGGAAATAGGCAGAAAACAATATCAATCTATGCCAGGGAGATTTAATCTTGAAGAACTTGCTGACATCTTAAGATGAAGCAGGTTTTATTTTGTTTTTAAATGCCAAGTCAAAATGAAACATTCAAAGCAGAAATAAGCAATTCTTTTTCTTTCAAATAATTGATCTATATTTTACACTTGTATCATCAAAAAGTGTTTCAATTTTATCAGTGTTTTGATGAGCTCTTCTTTTAACTCTGCCATCTGAATTACTGAATCTTAATTACAATATCCTGGTTTGGTTGCCAGAATATTATTGACAGCTAAATGAATACAACGAGGGAATTCAGACAACCATAATCTCATGTGTGGAGCCTTTATAAGTCTAAGGAGTGTTAAATGGTTTTGGTATTTTATGCACTTTAAATGTTTAGCTCTTCACCTAATTTAAACCATGTAATCTCTTTGGATTTCAATGAAACTCAGTAAAATGATACCAGCTGAGAATTTGTCTCAGCATATTTTATAATTTGTTCTGTAGTAAATATGTCCTATAATATAATAAAGAATAATGCATTCATGAACATAGAGTTTGTAACACATTCTTGTCTCCATACAGTAGCAGATCTCTGCTGATCTGAGCAGCAGTGCAGCTGTGTAGACAGGGAAGCATTTGTCATGTGAGTAGCAGGCCCACTGAGAGAAAATGCATTTATTTTCCAACAGAGCATGCTCATTATGATTCTCTTTGAATAGCATTGCTGCCTTAGGCCTCAGATTTTCAAATCCTACTAGTGTCCATATAGATGTAATTAAAATGATTTACACTTTTTGAAGGAGTGTGATACCTAAATGTGAGAACTACTGCTCTAAGAAAGTCTTTTTTGTCTTCTTCCCCTACCTCCACTAGTCTGCTTATGAAACAAAAAGGCATCGCCAAAAGATTCCTTTTCCTGAAACAAATTTCTAGAACAGAGAGAATTTCTAAAACCTTTGTGTCACCAAGTGAAATGCACATACACAAAATAAGGAAAAAAATAATTATTTTAATTGAATACTAGTGCAGGTTGAGAAACACAAACAAAAAAGTTCAGCTTGTTTTATCTATAAATGTACATGGTAGGTTTTGTGATTACTTTTAGGATTATGAAAATCCTGTCATTGGAAGTAAAGGTGATAATTTTTACAGAGGTGTAAAAGATTATC